GCCCCGTTGGGGAGCACAATCTTACTGAGAAGGAGGAGGCACAGACCTCCTTTCATTCTTCACTGATCAGACCACAGCTAGAGCAGGAATTCCAGTATAGGAGCTGCACACTGGGATGGTACAGCCATGCTTCATTCTGTACTACACAAGATGCAGAAAGGGAGCTAAGTCATGCCATTTGGGAATCTTGTGAAGGAACTGGGAAAATTTAGCTGGGAGATGAGAAAATGGACTGGAATAATTCTAATGGTCATTTGGCTACTGGTGTAAGTAACAAATGGTAAAGGAATACACAACTGGAATTTTTTCTCAGGAACTGGGGGAGCCAATAGAGGAGCTTTGTGAAGTATAAACTTCTGGGTTCTGAGATTTCAAGCAGCAGTTGGAGATTGCCCTGAAGCTTTAGGTATTAGAAAAAAGTATTAGGCCACATAACTCCTGTGTGTCCTAAAACCACATCAATTGCAGGGGAGCGTTCCATTATCGACTCCCAGGATTGTGCAAAATGAATTTGTGGACTAATTTAGTAATTGTCACACACCCTTGATCAAAACATCACTTTAACCCTTGCATCACACACTCTAGATCCAGTCACTTCGGGAATGCCCCACCTATGACAACACGAGGTCTTTCTGGGACATCTAGACACAAGCCATAACAAGTGTTAAAAATGAAATGTCCTTTATTCTTTTTAATTTTAAAGTGAATAAAAATAATAAAAACATTAGAAATGATACAGAATTTCAAAAAAAACAAGATGATAGGAATTCAACAATGGTTGTTACATTGTATATTGTTGTCTTCAAAGTAGTTGTTCAGATTACCAGGTATGTATGGGATTTTTCATATATATATATATATATATATTCATAATATGTGTATATCCATATACACATTCCTTCCTTCTTTCTTTCTTTTCTCCTTTGAAATGTGCTTTTTTTTCTAGAAAATTTTTATTCTGATAGGTGCTATATTGACACCTCTGGTACCATGTCTAGAACCCTGCTCCCATAGCCAGCATTGGTATGCCATCTTTCCCAGTGTTCTGCTGGCTGGGCGGAGACCACACCTCAGAATCAGTATTCTGGGCGGCTTGTGCTATCAGCTGGGTTGGAGCAACAGCATGAAATCTGTTACCCTGTGAAGCAGAGAAAGGAACATCTGATGCAGGAAAGCTTCATTATCTAAAGACACCTTGATCTGGAAAATCCCACTTGTCATAAACCTCAGGAGCTAGCACTCCATCCTAATAGGAAAAAAGTAGTAAAAGGTACATGGAGCTTTATCTTAAAATGTGAAACTAAATACTTACTTCTTAATTTCATTCCATAAACATTTATTAGGAGGCTACCATGGTAAATAGGTTTTAGGGTTCTGGGGATACAGTAGTGCATAAGATCCAGCAATCTTTTTCCCATTGGGGGCAGCAAATATAAAACAGGTAGATAAATACGTATTCCATATAAGACAGTGATAGGACTTTTTTTTTTTTTGGTACCTGGAATCGAACTCAGGACTTTACGCTTGCCAGGCAGGTGCTTGTGCCACTGAGCTGTATCCCCTGCCCAGTGATAGGTCTTATGAAGAAAATAAAGCAGAAGGAGTGATAGGAGATACTAGTTCAGGAAGGGTGGTCAGGGAAGCTCTCCTCAAGGAATGCATTTGAGCATGTTGAGGCTACTGTGCCCGGAAAAGGTCCTGGGCAGGATCAGGCTCACTTATTATAATGACTTCAGGGGGCCACTGTGGTTGGAGATAAGTTCAGTTGTCACCCAGATGGGGCATGTACAGCCTGACAGCCCATGAAAAGCAGTAAAGAAATTATAAAGTTAGTCTTATTGTATATTTTAGATATAAATGAGTGAGCTAATTCTTTTTTTTTTTTTTTTTTTTTTTTGGTTTTTGGTTTTTCTCCGGCACCGGGAACCGAACTCACGACCTTGCGCTTGCCAGGCAGGTGCTTTGCCGCTGAGCTAAATCCCCAGCCCCTAGTGAGCTAATTCTTTAAAAAAAAAAAAAAAAAAAGTACTTGAAGCTTGTCCATTTCAGGGGGATATGTATAATTTTTTTTAAGAAAAATTTTATACTTCAAAATGATAACCTTCACCTCACGTTTGACATTCACTATGTGACTATAAAAATGTAACATTTACAAAATTAAGGGTTTCATAAATTTTTCCAAAGATCATTTTTAGCTCTTTGGTAGCTTCCTTCTGAACTGACACATTATCATCCTCAAATTTTTTATTCTTTGGTTACTACTGCCAATATCTCACTTGTTGCTGGCTTTGAATATAGTTTCCACTGATTTAATAAAATCCTGAGTCTTTTGCAAAAACTGAAATTTCACTGAGTATTCAGTTTACATCATATCTGCATTTTACTGTAGATGAATCAGAGAGAGATTGTCATACAAAGGTAGATTTCATATACACCAGCATTGCCTAGGGAGGGATGTATGAAGGGAGAACAATGCCACATTTGGTCTGTCACTAGTATATACTTTGCACATCAAGGATTTGCTTCCCTGAGCACCTTTGCCTCTTCAAGAGCTCAAATATTGACCAATCAGATAATGAGGCCTCTTTTATGGTGGTGGCAGGTACTGGGGCTTATAAATGAAAGGATTAGAGGACAGAGAGTCAAGGAAGAGATGTTTTTGTCTCTTTGTTTCTTCTGTGGAAAATTATCATTTCAGGCAAGAGTCCTCTCCTTCGCGGGGAGGGTTGGCTATTCCCAAGGGTACTGGCAGGAAGTTACAAGTCACTGTGTCCAGCAGGCCAATGCAGCAGGCCTCTGTGAGCTTCCGGTCATTGTCAAGAGACTGGCTCCTTATCCCAACATCTTGCAGGAAATGATTTCTCAGAATTGTCTGTTCCTCCAGAGAAGTGCAAACATTTTAAATGGAAGAGCTATAAAGTGAGCACAAAACCATTCTGGAGTAAGCTCATTCTATCCAGAGCAGTGTGTTCATACTTAGTAAAGTTTTCAATTTTATGGTTCTGAGGGGCAAAAAAGGCTATATAAGCACTCTCCCATCATAGAAACTAAAGAAAAAATATAATATGATCTGTGAACTTACTAAGCATAGCACTTTTGTTCATAATCTTCCAAACTTCATGTTTGTTATAAAAATGGCAGTGAGAATAAAAATGATAAAGCCATTGGTTATTGACTGTTTTTGTTTTCAGGAAGGTTATGTAACCTTTGTGAGAATCTATGAGGTAGGTAGCTATCATCTCCAGTTCACGAACAAGAGTATTGAGGTATAGAGTCATTGTTCAAGTTGACACCAATAGTATCCGGTGAGTCTTGAACCTCAGCAAGCTTGCAAACTCTTTTCTGGACCACTGGCCTATTGTTCTACATTTTTCATAGAGCTAGATCCATGCATTAGAATAAAAAAAAATTTGATTATAATAAGGACTGTATTAGTATTAAATCAAAAATTCAGATGCTGGTTTTAAGAGCACTGCTAGGAAAAGTAAAACATTCAAATTTTTACAAGTGAATTAACAATATTCAAAACTAGCGTCTCTGTTTTCCTTTCATTTGACTTGTATGAAATAGAGTTGTCCATACAATATACATTAAATATATGCATTAAGTATTATACACACATGTACAATATGTATTTATTCTAAAAATGTTGAAAGATGGCCTGTGTGCCTTCTTATGAGAGTGAGACAGTGATAGACATGTAGCACCATTTTTTTCTTTCAATCATTTGTTCAATAAGTAACTATTTTATATTTTTTTTCTCTGATGTACTCAAGAACTGTTTTCCCAAAATTCCTAGTTACACATGATGTTAATATTTAAGCAAAATATTATGTTGGTCTGTGATGGATTTGAGGGACAGTAGTTAAAAATAGATGGTATATTTTTCTTTGCTGCCTAGCATGCATTGTGAATTTATAATATGTCTTATTTCAAAAACTTGATTTTGTCCATTTAAAATTTTTTTCCTTGGCCATCTGGGAGACTAGAAATCTTTGGAAATTACTGTTCTAAAACTTCTTCACAAATTCACATATTAACTTTTCTGCTTCTATTTTTGAACTCTTCTTGAGCTCCGTTTAGCTAAGTCAAGGGTTTTCAAAATACCTACATGTTATATGAGGCTCAATAGTATTGTCCTATTCCAAATTGAATAGTAGAAAGTATTTTTAACAATTTATTGAGGGAAGGGGTAACCAGGAACCGAACTCATGTCCTCACGCTTGCCGGGCAGGCGCTGCATCAGTGTGCTAAATCCCTGGGCCCTGAAAGTATTTTTAAAAGCCACTTGAAAAGGCACTTATAAAGACAATTTAAAAACCTGATTTAATATGAAAAATGTTTAATAATTAATTGAGTGACAAAAATTAAAATGATTCTTTACGAACTAGTAAATGACAGGGTTTTGTGGGGATATTTGGGGGTTTTAGCCATAATATGCTGTATCAATCAGTTGTTTTCATTGTATATGACTAGTTCCTAAAACTTAATTTTGATCCTTTCTATTCATAAACTGCTGAAAATTTTTATTTCTTCTCTATGAACATTATTGAATCCTTACATTTATTAAGTACATTTAGTATTTCATTTTACTCTCAAAGTATTCCATATACTTGTCTGAGTCCTGCTTCAAAGTTGAAATCAATACTCTTTTCCATTTCAAATGAGTCACTGGGAACATTTACAAGAAAGAGGTCTGATCTTCCTCTGTACTGGAATGTTTGGAACAGCACCATAGCCAATGAGTAAAAGGGCTTTCTGCAAACTGACAAGCTTTGAACCTATGAACCAAGAAGGCCGAATATAGATTTACTTTCTCAGTCTTTATAAACAGAAAGAACAGACCTCAGTTTGTGATGAACACAGTGAAGAAGCTCTGTCTGTCATTCTCAACACTAGCTCGGAGGAGACAGGTGGCTTAAGAACATATACATATAATACTATACGTAAACATCAGCGATTTATAGTTACAAACTTATTTACTCCACGGACGTCAAATCAACGATCACATTGGTCTTTTATTTTATCTGAAGAGATTAAAATAAGATTGTAAAGAGCTTTAATGAAACCCATTTTTCCTTGAAAATTCAATTTTGGTTTTTCAAAGTATAACTTTTGAAGGTTAAAAGCAGGACCCTCCCAAGAATGCAGTCATCAGAGACCTGTTCATCTATGAGTGAGGGACACTGTACACGTGGTGAAGATGGCTGGAGGAACATTTTTGGAGATTTGAGTATTTACAGGCATTAGAAAGAATTTTAGTTGGGTGAGATGCAAAACTGGGTAAATCCTACACTAGGAGAAAACCTTAAACGCCGACACTGCGTTTTCTGTTGGATAGACGGGGTAGGACGTGCAAGCTTAATGTGTAAGGTCACCATGTCTGAGTGAGTCAATAACGTGAGGCACAGGGAAGCATGAACTACCCTTGGGCGGACCCGCCAAACAGTCCGTCTGTGACCCTAACAGCCATGCGCCTTCCTCTTATTTTTAAGTTTGGGCTGATTTTTCCAATTATCTTAAAATATTTGAAAAATATGAGTGTTTCTTCTTGTTGTTATTATAACTGAACTCATCGGTTTATATGGTTTAAATGGGGGGAGAACCCACTATCTCAGCTGCTTCTGGCAGTGGGAAGATTAAAATGGGGGTGGGGATCTTGTTTCAAAATTCAAATAAGCATCCTTCACTCCGTATCAAGGTCAACATGGCAGGAGAAAGGAACAATGAAAGAGCGCAGGACGCACGTCCCCGGGGAAGGAGCAGGAGGGGGCCGCGGTCTCCCCTCCCCCAGCAGGACCGGCCTTCGGGGTCCGCAGCTCCATCCTTTGTAAAGGTGCTGGAGAGGAGCGGGGCGGGCCGTCCCGGGCGGCGGGCTCCGCCCCTGCACCGTGCCGAGCCACCAGCTGCTGCCTGGAGCAAATTCTGCACTCGCCCTGCGTGGGCTCATTCACAGCTCTGCCGTCCGGGCCGGGCGCTTCCTCTGCGGGACCGAAATAACCGAGCACTGTCACATCGGGTGTGATGCAGCGATCCTCCTTCGGAGGCTCTTCTTTTTCCTAAGCAATAAAAAACAACACGCGATTAAAAAAAAAAAAAAAAAATGAAATATACCAGCACCAGTGCGCCTCTCCCCCTTCCGTTCCCCCGGCCTCTTCCGCGCGAAGGATGAGCGTCTGCCAGCCTCCGCGCCGGGCGCAGGGTGGGGGCAGGCCGGGGAGGTAGCTGGGCGACATCGCGAGCCGCGGAAGAAAGCGAGTCTCGGGGTGTTTGGGCCCCTGGG